TCTGGAGTCTCTGGAGGAAACGCTGATTTGTCTACTTATTTTTAATTAGTGTAATTCCGAATGAGCCTCTTGGATTTCATCTTATTGGTGATTGTATTGCTGGAGTAACATCTGTACATCTTAATATATTTACAACTGCCAACATTAAGACTGGGGAATACACTCATGAGTAGGTCTGCACATGCTAGTTATTAGATGTAATTTCCTGAAGTTTCTTCTTCACATTTTAATGATGAGGAATTAGCTCTGTTTTAGTGTAATTTGTTTTAATTTTTGAAATTTTCAGTTTCACTGGATAAAGCTGTGAGCCTACAGAAATGATTAACTGTACCTTGTTGCAGGTTGCTTTTTCATAATATAGGACTCTCCAGTTTCAGTTTAGAGAAATACTGTATACGTCCAATACATTGCCTCCACAATATCCTCCACCTTCACAGGCACATGTTTGCACTTTCCTGTTGTTAAAATTGCAGACAAGAACAATTTTGATTTATTGGTGACATCTAATATAGCTGTGTTTATATTGTTGCCAATAAAATGACTTACATGATTGGTTTTTGTTTATACAATCTTTTCTGAGGAGTCAGTCACCTGTGTTAGGACAAGGTACATTCTGCTTATTAAAATGAACTCCTGGGATCTAAGAACATTCAGGTCTATCTGTTCTAGATTGAATGCAAAATGTACTTCACACTGCAGCCGTGCATGAGAATAACTTGTATTATCTATCAGTAGGCTTTTCATTTCTATATTCTTTAGGCTTCAAAAGCTGTAACAAGACAAGCTCACAGGAATAACACAGAGCTATTAAACGATGAAGGCAGAGGAATTGAAAAGGCAGTGTTGATGAAATTATAGTCATTAACCCACAGGGAAAAATTAAAAGAATCAATAAGAACTTTTTTTGGGTGGACTGTGTGTATATGTGTATGTATACATGGAGCAGTTTGCTGACCTGCGTTTCGTGCCTCGTTATCAGGTTTTCTGTGCAGGCAAAGAAATACTTGTGGCATAAGGAATGGAAAATACAACAAAGGCTAAATGTAGCCTAAGGAAATGAAATGATGTATGAAAATTAATAATTAACTGGCTCATCAGATGAATTATGACTCCAGATGAGTCTATTAATGATATTTACTAAGAAAGGGCCTTTGGCTGTAAATAGGCATTATAGAACTTGTATTTTTGGAATTTTCTTGAATGGGTGAGTTAACATTGCTTTCATTTTGTTGAATCTCTTAATATAGGAGGAATGGTGCCTAGGGCCTTGGGTAGAAGGTAGAGTCATGATGTTATATTTTCATTAAAGTCATGGTTTTCCAGAAAACTGGTGGAATTATTAGATGGTTTTGTGCCTTCGTTTCCTTAGGGAGTTAAGTCATTTCCTCTCTGACCTGATTTACAGGAGTCTTTTAAGAATTTGAAAGTAGTCAAAAGTAGAGATTTATTAACTCTTATGTTGACTCATTGGCAGAAAGAACATTTTCGTTGTGTCAACCAGTGGAGTATAAAGATTTAAATATGTCAATGTCAGATCCAAAATACTCTAAACTTATTAGACTTTGGTTGCTCCTTTTTTGTTTTTTAGATAGCCTACAGTAGAGTAATTGGGTGGAAGAAAATAGATTTAAAAATGCTGGGAAATTCAATCAGATTTTCAAATAGAAAGAGTATCTTTAGTTAAATTGTATCCATTACATTTTTGATAACTGATTTGTGATTTTACTTTCTTTGCAAAGTGCAAGTTTAATCCTCAATTCATTTTTGCTGGTTGATGTCATTCTGTGCACCACCAGTGGGAAAGCCTTCTTATATGCTCTTACTCAGAGTTGGTAGAAGTGGTGTTGTTTTTATTTCTGTATCTATCCAATCCCCCTAGATTTAAGTGCACAGGTATTCAAAAGCTGCATATTTATTTTCCTGATTATAGTAAATGGATATTTTAATAATCTTCCTCATCTAAATTATCCAGTTTAACAAAATGTCAGGAGACCAAAGTGATTATATCCAACTCCTCAGCCTTTTGTGGATGAAAAAACGGAAGTTATTAATGGTTTGTTAGCAAAGCTCAGATATCTTGACCTGTCGAGTGCTCTTTCCACTTTGACTGTATGAGGATGTGTCTCTCTTAAATCTGACTCTATGAGCATGTGTCTCTCTTAAATGCAGCAGTTGATCCTTTCTGGTTTTTTTTTTTTTTTTTTTTTTGAGGCAGAGTCTTGCTATGTAGTTTCGTCTGGCTTTGAACTCTTTATGTAACCTGGACCAGCCTTAAACTCACAGGGCTCCTCTTGACTCAGTCTCCCAAGTGCTAGGATTGAAGTATAAACCGAAATGATTCTCCTTTTGTTAACCAAGTGAATTTAGAATTCTGTGCTCATCATATAGCTCAGCCAAAAAATATACCAAAATATTATAATATGAATAAACAAAATTGATTTTTACATTCTGGAATCTAATACTTGAAAAATTCATTAGCATAATTAGTGTGAGAAGCTGGAATTTTAGGCACATTTTTACATATTTTCTTTTTTGTCTTGAATCTGGTTTTGCTTAGCTTACATGTCATTGCCCTGTGGCTTTTTCTTTATGGTGTTAATCACTTTATTTTCAGTAATAAAATTTAAGTACATTTTGTGTTGATTTTACTTTCAACCTAATACTATTTAAACAGGATTGCATTTTATAAAAAAATAAAATAGTCAGTGCAAGGTAGACATGTGTGAATGCCTGATATCTAACTAATTTCTTAGTACTATGGTTCTTTTTTCCTTCTTGTAGCCTCACCTTTTTAATGGGTAAGCTTCATGCTAAGTGCTTATTTATATGTTTTTAGCAACATCTTTGATGAGAATTCCTGCTTGTATACAATCCTGCTGGCAAAAATGACTCCCTTAAAAACCTGGAAATGGACACAGTCTGGAAATCTGTAGACACTTGTCACTTGGACCATGGTCTTAGTGACTCATATTTCCAGTCATGTTGAACAATTCTTCATTTTCAGAAAATTGCCAATATGACTTACTTCTTTGCTGTTTTTTTGGTGGGTGCTGAATAAGTATTTGAAGAATACTCGGGTTCAGAGGACTCAGAAAACAACATTTTTATCAGTGAAGAGAGAATAGATGGCTACTTTTATCTGGCGGAGCACAGAGACTTTAAATGACTCTTGCTCATGATTAACCAATGAGTGAATCAACAGGCTGACTGGTAATGCTTTCAGACTCTTCATGGACACAATGGAAAAGGCACTGGAGTTTTTCCAGCATGAAAAATAATCTCATAAACAGTGTGATTTCAGGAGGTATTTCTTTTGCTTGCTTTCTTTCTTTCTTTCTTTCTTTTTTTTTTGTACCAGGGATCGAACTTATGACCTCGCACTTGGCAGGCAGGTGCTTATGTGGCTGAGCTGAATCTCAGCCTTCAGGGTCTACTTCTTATTGTTCCATAAACAAACTTAAAATGAGGAGGTTTAGCTCATTTAGGCTCACCTTTCCATTCATGGAAGGGCAGCAAGAAGGCATGAGCAACCCTGATTAGATTAGTACTATTGATTGTCTCTGAGGACTGCTGGATGACATGATAGTATTTAATGGCAGAGACAAAAAACCATTCCAAATTGTGCACACACACATTGTCTCACTAAGCACTAAGCCGTCCAGGCTGAGCTCAAACTTGTGATTCTCCAGCCTCAGCCTCCTAGGTCAGAATTACGGGAATGTTGCCACCATGCCTGGGTGCTCACTGTGTTGGAAACTCCTCACATGTGGTAAACTTTCCAGGAGGCACAGTGAGATTTGACTTGAAACTTAATGTTTTAAAATTTCCTCAAATGATATAAGAAAGAAAGTTCTTCCTGAAAAGTTTTCTTTCCTTGATTCGCTTTCTGAGGAGTTGAGTTGAAAATATTTGCCTTACAACCTTGAGTGGATTGTATAGAAAAAGCCAAACTGTCTAACTGAACCTATCTGAACATTACTGCTTTGCACTCAGTCCTTGTTTCCTGTGTGCAGCTTGGCTTCTTTCCATGACATCGTGCCTATAGGAAAGGCAGACTATGAATGGGGTCTATCATGCATGTGGAGAAGTGACACTACCATAGCACTTGGCCACCTATTACATCACACTCTGGGGAGCAGCTGGGCAAAGGAGAAAAATGTTTTAGAATCATAAGTACTGACTTCATCACATATGGGTGGATAATAGTATCCTGTGGTCCTATTTGGTTCTCCCATAGGAAATTTCATGGGGCTATGACTGATAAACACTACAGTACAGGGCACAGTGAACATACTGAATAGATTTCCTTTAGGAGGGCTAGTCTGTCCTCGTGCTTTCCATCATATGTAACCAAGACTCTGATACTAAAGGGAATATACGGATATGTAAAGCCTTTGTGACTTTTCCCTGGCTTAGGAGCTATTGAGTACAACTGAGTATCTCCTAGGGCTGTTGGATAGTATCACAGTATGTAATGTCAGACATTTGTAAATGTAGAGGCTTCATCTTAGAGTGAAAAAAAAAAGCTTCATCTTAAGAGTGAAAGTGAGAGATGCTATCATACCCTCACTAACCCCTTGAGAGCCTAGGTCTGTTTTGTGATTGTTGCCTGGCCTCATACAGCACATGAAAATAGTACTTTTTCATTTCCCAGGACCCACTACAAAAAAAGTGAACTCGTATGCACAGATCCTTTAGGGATCAAAATAAGTTTAATTTGCAGGCTGGTCTCACTAGATGCATTATAGTTGTGAAGAGCACCCTGTTGAGAACGCTCAGTGGCAAACAACAATATAGTGATCCATAATCCTTGTCTCCTATGAATATAGAAGGGGAGAGTGCCTGTCAGTGAGCCCTGTATTTTATGATCTTGTTCTACGTAAAAGGCCATTTTGCTAAAGGTTCTTCTGTTCTTGATAAGAATGCTACACGGGTTGAAAACTCTGTCCTTTGTTTTCATTTTTACTTTTAAAAATGCCTGCATTTATTTTTTTAAACAGGCTTATAACCCACACCATGGATAACTTATTGGACTTTGCCTGAAAGGAGTCATTAGTGCCATTGGATATTTGACCATCTTGGCCACAGGTTTTTCAGGATGAATGGAAGGTCACGCAGCATGAGTCTTCACCATATGTCGGGAACCCCACAGGGGCCTGGGATGCTCAGTGGCCAACATATTCCTCCCATCCGAACCCACTCGGGGACTCCTGGCCCCTCGTCTTGTGGCAACACACCAAGCCCCGCTATTGGAAGCCTTTCTAACAGCCTGCATCGCAAGATGCCCTTGGGAGGAGGGATGGCTCTTCAGCACAGTATGGCTGAGAGCCCCATCCATCTGCCCGCTCTGAGCCCCAGGAGACAAGTTTTCACCAGTGAGAAGCCAAGATTCCAGGTCACCCAGCCTGGAGGCATGTCAGGGACCCATTCTTTAAAGCCAAAGCAGCAAGAGTTTGGAAGTCCTTTTCCTCCAAATCCTGGGAAAGGTAGGATTGTCTTTTTGGGATCTTTTAAAAGTGGAAACTTATTTTTTTTCCTCCCCCTAGTGCTTTTCCTGCCAGTAAATTCTATAGAAAAACATGTAATTCATTGTCAGAGTCAAAGTTGGTAGTGTCATGATTACATAGCTTGCCTTGTAAGGTTGTGGGTGTGTATTTGTGTGTGTGAATGCTGGGCCCGAACATGGGACACATCATTGGGTTGGGAAACAGTGAGGACAAAAAGAAAGATCAGAGGTAGAGAATTGGAACAGTGGTTATCCTGCCCTAAAAAGACCCTGCTTTAGAAAAATACTGCCCTCTGGGTACATGTAGCTCTGCCTATTGGTCATGGATGAGAGGGTTGAATGGGACTGTCATTTATGCTAATGTTAGAAATGCTAGAAGAAAGGTGATGTTTGGAAGGAAAAGGCTAAAAATGTGAGAAATTTTAATGATCCAAAGAACTGGCACATTTTATGAACGATAAGAAAAATTAATTTATGAGCAAACTAATTTTTTACAGTGCAGCTGTTAACGGGAGAGGAGAAAGCTGGAGGAGAATAATGAAAAGGTGTTTTGTACTTGTGAAGAACTAGAAAACCTAGTTAACTTGAGATGCAGAAAGAATTTCCTTTTAACTCAATTTTATATTACTGTATATTTTAGATTGAAGCATAATTGTCAGGGAATAGCAGATTATTTGGAGATGCTCTCTAGAAACTGATGTTGACTTAATGAAGTTATGTTGCAGATGGTATATGCATTTAGGCTGGAAGTAAAAAAAGAACATGTATATATAAATATAATACAGCCTTGTTATGCAAAATTGGACAATTATAGTTTCCTTATTTAGACTTAGTTTTCAATGTTTACATTAAAAACACTTACATCATCAAATAATATGAACAAGAAACCTTCCCAATAACCACTCACCTGGTTAATTAAGGTGTATAAATGAATTATATTAGACAAGTATACCAACAGTCATTTATCATAGTGTCTGTGTATTTTTGTATGTGGAGGAGCTGGTACAAATGGGGAAATTAAAAAAACCCAACATAACACTAAATATTCATAAGATTTTTAATTTTTGTTTTTTATTTATTAATATTTGGTCTAGGTTTGGTTTTGAGTTGTTTTATTTCCTAGAGGTACTGATGTTAGTATAGGAAAAAATTTCCCTGGGGGCTGTCTGTCAAATAGTTGTTATTGTTAGATTGTTTGCTCATGGCATGTCAAGCTAAGTTCCTTAATACAAACCCCAGGGTTTGTTTAATTACTCAGGGCAGGGGCCTATTAAAATCTTTCCGTTCATTCTTGAGCAATACATAGTCTCAGTTATTCCTCACAACAGCCCCAAGTTGATTTAACTGATAAGGGAATTAAGATTTAGAAAGAGTAAGCACCTTTGGAAACACAGCCAGGAAGGAGTTACTTTGGTGGTGATCAGAAATGACTGTAATTATGATCATGGTTAAAAAATGCTTCAGGTACTTAAGGAATAGTTAGCTCTCAGGGTCAATCTACTTTGGAATGCGTGTATAAATAGTGCTGCTTCCTGATTCCCTTCTCTGTGGCCTTCTGGTTCAGTCAGTTTGTTAATTTACCGTGTGGGTTCTGGACCCACTGTGTGGTTGGGGCACTCATGGACACAGATAAGGAATTAAAGACACTATTATTATCCCTGATGGCCCCACAGCTTGGATACCATGAGTGATCTAGATGATGTCAGAAATGGGTGAACATGTCCTTTCAGATTTTGGTTGACAATTCCTAAATTACACCAATAACTGATGGTTTAGGACTGTGTGAACTTTACCTAATCATTTACTCAATAAAAAGTTACTAAGCATGATGATGAGCCATCATTCTGGAGACACAATAGCCAATAAAACATAACCCTTGCTTTCAAGGTGTTGGAAAATTCAGACAAATATATGGGTAGTTAAAACATAATAAAGGCTCTGATAGGATGCGCTCTGAGTACCATGACAACCTTAGAAAAGGGGTTCTGCTTGTTCTTGGTAGGTGGATCTGGGAGGATAGTAAAACATCAAGGCAGAAGCCTGAATCGTGAGGAGGTAGCTTTGCAGTGCGAGTGCATAGTCTGTGTGTATTTGCATGTGTATGTGCACATGCACGGAACACGTGTGCTTGAAGGGCTTGTTCAGAACATATACTAGGTAGGGAGTAAAGCATACTGCGAACTTGATGGGGAGGGATCATGGAGTATTTTACGAATTTCTGCAGGATTTACATAGCATAAGTTTGTTGGTGCAGTGATTGCTTAAGAGAGAGGGCTGCAGAGGAATAAGCAGAAAGCAGGAGAAGAATCAGGAACTGTATACCAAGGAGTTTGGTTCTGTCTTGAGAATGCTGACAGAACATGTGACTCTGCAAGTAGTATTTAGGGCTCCGCAGAAAGAACTAACGGGATGTATGTATGTATGTATGTATGTGTGATAACAAATTCACTGATAAGATTATGGAGGTTGTTAAATTCTAAAATCTGCAGTGTGTGTGGCTAAAGTGTTTCAGTTTAAGTCCAAAGGCAAGAAAAAAGCTGATGTCCCAGTTCAAAGGCAGGAAAGATTCTGCCTTCCTCAGGGAAGGAGTCAGCCTTTTGTGCTATTCAGGCCTTCAGCTGGTTGGATGAGGACCATCTGTGTTAGTAGAGCAATCTGCTTTACTCAGTCTACCAATTTAAATGTTAACCTCATTCGAAACCACCACAATGGAAGCACTCAGAATAATTTTTGATCAAATATTTGAGCAATCTACAGCCCAGTGAAGTTCACATGAAAATTAACCATTATAGTGAGTTATCATTGTTTAAGGACAATGTATAATTTACATGATGGGTAAGAAAGTGCACTTTTTGAGCCTTGAGAGTGGTTATAGTAACTCTTAAGAACATAGCGGAGTTGTGAACAGAGAATTTAAATTAAGGATTATCACTGGCAAGTATCTGGCTTAAAGACTGGAGAATCTCCAGTGGAAGCCTTGTGGAAAGTATACACTTGATGGTAGGGTTTACTTAACGACTCAGTTTTGCTCAATTGGCAATGCGAATGACAGTGACTTTTCATATCATGTGGTGTGTTTCGCAGACAGTGCATTAGGATCACTGGAGTGCCACACAAACTCAGAGTCTTGGGACATCTAAACATGGTGACATGTGACATCCTTTAAACACCAGGCAAGCTACTAGTTTGAGGAGCTTGACAGTTTCAGTAGTAAATTGCACAATGTTCCTTTAATCTTTGCAAAGCTGTTTCCAGTAGTTGTGGTTTTAAAGAAACAAATATTTTCTATGCCTGTGTTCATGGCAGCATTATTTATAGTAGCCAAAAGGTAGAAACAAATGTCCTTTATTGGATAAATAGATAAAAAGGTCTCTCTCTCTCTCTCTCTCTCTCTCTCTCTCTCTATATATATATATATATATATATATAAAACGTATAATATAATAATAATAATATCTATCTGTCTATATCTCTGTGTCTCTGTCTCTACATCTATGTCTATATTGGAGTATTGTTTAGCCTTACAAAAGAAACTTCATATGCTACAACACTGATGAATCTTGAGTAAATTACCCTAAGTGAAATATACTAGTCCCAGAAGGATAAGTGTTGTACAATGAAGTTCTAGGAATGTTAGATTCATAGAAACAGAAAAAATGGTGGTTAATAAGGATTTGGGGAAGAGGAAATGGAGAGTTAGTGTTTGATGGTGACAGATTCTAAGTTGAAGAAAATGAGAAAATTCTGCAGATGGGTAATGTGACATTATGCAACAATGTGAATGAACTTGATGCCACTGAACTATAAATTTTATGTCCTGTGTATTTTCTCACAATTGAACAAAGCAACTACTAAGTGAAAATTCATTGTGAATAAGAAATGAGGGTGGTGTTATCCATTCTTATTTTAAGGTTTGAGAAGTGGAAGCACCCATTGGAGCACCCATTTCATTAATAATTGTGGTCATTTAAAATTAAATAGCAATAGATGTGCATTACTCTTTAAAGCAGTTAATAATTTGGTAGTACAAAAATGCTACTATGTGCTGACATCTGTCTAGTTAATAAATGCAAGTGTTAGGTGTTTCTTTTGGCCTAGGGGCACCATGAAAAAAAAACTTCTTGAGGGGCTAAGCATAGCGTGAACTGAGAACCTTTGGAAGCCTCTCGCACAGGGAAGTACGGCGTACGGGTTGATGGCTTCTCACTGGCAGCTCTTCTGTGTATAAAGTCCAAGATCATGGCCTGTCTTCTCTTTTTGGTTGCACACTGGCTGCCTCCCTCCAGCTCTGGCTACAGTTTGCCTTCTGAGAAGTGGCAGAAGCAAGAAAGGACAAAAGGGAAAATAATAACAAAAGACAGTTCTCCCCAATATATCCTCTTAAAACAGTTTTCCTGGAAGCCCCATTCAGCTACCTCCACCTTCCATGAGCCAATCATTACATAAACTATTTCTTAGATAAAATTCATAGTTGGACCTGAATTTTTAAAAGAAGATTAATCTTGTCTTATGTACATAAAAAATGGAAATTCTATTTAATTTTACTTTCCATCTTTTGGCCACCTGTATCTCTTTGCAGTAGTACTTTGGAAGACTCAGACATTGTGACATTTCACTCAATTCCTACCCAGTCGTCCTGCATGTGTTCATTATAACCAAGGAACTTAATTTTGATACAGATGTACTCCTTGTATGTAGCTATATGTTAAAATACAGTCCATATTAAAATTATGTATTATTTTATATTTTACTCTGCTTATTATTTAGAAATTATTTTCTGCACCTTGCAATCCAAACCTCTTGTTTAGTTGTATTTTTCCTTTTGATCAGAATCTAATCAAAGACACCTTAAATTTGGTTGTCATGTCTCTTTAGCCTCTTTGAATCTAGAACAGCCCTTTCTGCCTTTTAATTTTGTGTGATTCAGGTTAAATTTTTTGTTGAAAGTACTGTGTAGGGGATTTGTACACCAACCATTCC